AACCTTCAAATAACTATAAGATAGATGGATAGTTTTTGTAAAAATACATCTAATCCAAGAGCAGCCATTTCAATTAGGGTCTGCAACATTCAAAAGCTACTAATGGAATAAACATTAAGCCAATGTTAATTTCTTAACAGTATCTCAACATAATTATGAAAGGTAGATATATTTTTGATACTGGTTTCTTGGCTCATCTACTCTACCCTGAAGGTATTCAATATGTTGCAGACAAGAATGGTCTATCTCCTAATACAGGATTATGTTTACAGTCTTGCAGGGGTGTCTTCAGACTATGTTCAAAAATGTCAAGATTGAAGCTGTGATAGTACAACCAAAGTTCCACCTTCACATAAAAAAAAAACAGGCAGAAGTTTGACTGCACTTCTTGTCCTCTTGACTTTTTTTTTTTTTTACTACATTCCGTGGACACCTTTGCAGTCTTGGACCCATGAGTATCACTAAAGGCTTAGATATCTTCTGAAGCATCCCATTGACATAACAAATGTAATTTCTCTTGGCCAACCCTATCTGCACATTAGTAAATCCACTTGGATTGCGAAGGGATGATTGAAAATGATTCAGAAACATCAAACAATACAAAACACAGTTGCTAGAGATAAAGACACGGGTATACAATCTACAACTATCTAAAGTTCACAATACCTTTCCAAAAATTGTGAGTAAATTGTAATCTTCATTCATGTGCTCATTCAAATTATATCCAAGTTACCTTTAGGAGACACCATCTCAAGGATTTCCCCTGTATTTTATCCTCAGAACAGCATACTCATGAGGTAAGTTTGGCTAAAAGACAATGACTAGCTGAAATCATCCAGTAAGTTTTGGGGGTTGAAGGTACATTTCAACCAGGTCTACTTATTCTATCACTATGTCCCACGGCCACATGATGAAAGAAGGGCACTATTAAATATAGAGGAATAATTCATTATATATATTTAATCAATGAAATCACATAAACACTATACCACCCCAAACCCATTGGAGTGGGGCAGCTAATCAATTTAAGTATAAAAATAAAATTGTTTATCTGACTGTTTCCATAAGGCTTGAAGCCTTATGGGAACCGTCAGATTTATATATGTGGATTTATTATACATTAGGAATTAAAAGGTAAGTTAAGTTGCCATCATTGTACTGCATTTTAAAGAATGTATAATTAAAATGATAAATATATCTGTTCCCATTGTTGCATCAAATTTAGAATGACAGAATGCAAGATGTATAAATAGATGCCACATTGCTACAAAATCAAACTTCAACTCATTGGTTTTTTAAAAAATCTTAACATCTCATTTTGTACAATTATTAAGAACTGTACTACAGTATATCTATTTGATTAACAGGATATTTGTGGATCAGTTTTGACAGGGAGTTTAGTTATACAATATAAGTTCTTGCTACTTTATAAAAAAGGGAAAGTTTTTAGGCTTTCAAAAATACTAATTAATTAATTAACTATGATTATAAAGCTCCAAAAGAATGACATCTGAATAGAGCTTTTAACATGAAAAAGGAAGCTATAAAGGTCAACAAATATTTATATAAGTATTGTTTTTCCACTGTAATAATTACGTCCTGTTAGACTCCTATTTGTAATTTGATCCATCCAGACCAAAAACAAAAAAAACATCCAGTCATTCCAGAGGTTTATATTCCTACAAGGTTGGTGCATTAAGCAATAAATAAAAAAATATACGGTAAATAATTTATAGGAGAGTTAGACATAATGAATGACAACTAATATAAAAAGGATCACTATATATCTAGGCCACAAATCACAAAAAAAAAATGTCCTGCCTTATGCAAACATTGGCTTAAGCAGAAAAGCTGTTCAAGTAATCCATTATTTTATTTTACTAATTCTAGTAAGTTCAGTTCCTGTTTAAATTGCTCATGGGATCACCATTTGCAATCATCTGACAAGCAAAGTCAGAATTGTTAGCAACTGTGCTTCTAATTTAACAACTGCGGCGATTCACTTAACAACTGTGGCAAAAAATGAGGCAAACTCACTTAACAACTGTCTTGCTTAGCAACAGAAATTTTGGGCTCAGTTGTGGCTGAACTACCTGGACTATTAAGCTGAGAATGTTGTCAAAACTGGTTAGAATTATTTACATATATTATGCTATATAAGCCAAGTCCAATCAACTAACATTAACCAGAGGTTATTTGGTTGTGAAAATCCACCCACAAGAGATTTCCTACTCTGAGGAAACCAACAGGAGGGGCTGATAGCAAGAACAGCGAGAACTGAGTCTAAATCAGATAATCAGGTAAGGTGGCTCAGGGCAAGTTTTTCATCCAGAGGCGTCACTGGAATCTGAACAAATTCTGTGATTTCTCTTCAGGGACTCAAAATATTTTTAATAACGAATTTTACTAATAGGAATTAAGTTTACATGTTGTCCTAACCTTCTTGACCTAATTCACATATACTATTAAACCATAATCCAGGGATGTCAAACTCAAGGCCTGCAGGCTGGATCCAGTCTGTGGGGTGCTTAGATCTGGAAACAGGAAGGAAGGAAGGATATTATAATGAGGAAGGGTCTGAGGGAAGTCCTGCCTTAACATTTGGCCACCACAGGTGCCCGCAACACAAGTGACATCAAGCAGGCCACACCCTTCCTGGCCATGCCTACTCCAGCCCCATCTGCCCCACCTCCCGAAGTCAAACACAACCTTGAGGTGGCCCTCAATGAAATCAAGTTTGACACTCCTGCCATAATCCATCAACTATAGTTGCTGGGGTCACTCATCACTCTGAAATCAAAGCAAATAAAACAGATTATGGCTTGTAGCAAATGCCCATGTAGTGTTCATCCTTAGCCCAATGCTATGTTTGAATTTAACTATTACTTTGTAAACCATGATTTATACCTTTATATTATATATGAGTAGGCTATACTAGCTTGTTCAACAAAAGGGTCTCCATCTACTTTTCCATCCCTCCAGTTACTTCATGTGTAGAGTGGAGAAGGGATTGCCTTTTATCTTATTTTCAATCTCTATTCTGCTGTCATTATATACATACAAGGATTAAAGCTGGAATAACTAAAGGCCAGTTCTTTGGGACCATTCATTGATTACTCACAGTATTGTTTCCCAGCAGTTCGGGGAAGTTCTGTGCTTTTGAGATATAAATACAAGAATAATGGGCTGTGGTGGCACAGTGGTTAGAGTGTAGTACTGTAGTAGGCTACTTCTGCTGCCTGCTGGCTGCCTGCAATTTGGCAGTTCAAATCTCATCAGGCTCAAGGTTGACTCAGCCTTCCATCCTTCTGACGTGGGTAAAATGAGGACACAAATTGTTGGGGGCAATATCCTGACTCTGTAAAACCACTTAGAGACTACTGTAAAGTACTGTGAAGTAGTATATAAGTCTAAGTGCTATTGCTATTGCTAAAATGTAAATTATTTCCCTGTTTTTTTCCTGTCTTTCTATCACAAATGGAATTTACTGTAGATCTTATAAAATGATCCTGTATATATTGACTAAAGCTGGGAATTGGAAATGGGAAGAAAAACTATTTCCCAGTATCAGCTAAACAGAAGGTAACCTTAACAAATGAAGCATCTGTCGATGCTTTGTCATAGGGAAATTCTTCCTGGCTAATTGCTCTGTCAATACCACACAATCCCTTTGCATATAGGGAAATACAGCCTGTATCCTATAGGAAGGATGGAAATGGAAAGGATGAGTTTTACATCACAGGCTACTGTTTGTCACTGAATTCCACTGTTACTGGGACTAAAATGCTCCTGTGAGGTTGCTTTAGGGCAATGTTACAAACCTGTTCAGCATTATAACCTACATTCCACCAGCAGACTGAATGTGAATTACAGATGCACTATTATTTAAGCCAATTTGGCAGCAATCCAAAATGATTATTATCTAGCCTAACCTTCTCATAGAGAATTAAGAAAGGTCCTTTTTAGAAGTAGGGGGAAAAACCCTCTCTTTACAGGGAGTTCTCAACTTATGACCATTTGTTTAATGATTCAAAGATACAATGACACTGAAAGACTTACTTACGATAGGTTCATGCATTTATGACTGTTGTGGCATTTCCATAGTCATGTGATCATGATTTGAGTGTTTGGCAACTGGCAACGTGTTTACAATGGTTGTAGTGTCTCAGAATTATGTGATTACCATTTATGACCTTCCCAAGCACTTTCCGACAAGCAAAGTCAACGGAGGAAGCCAGATTCAGTTAACAACAATGTTAACCTTATGGCAAAAATTCAGGCGAGATCCAATGACATTTAGCAATGAATATTCTGGTCCCAACTGTAGTTGTAAATTGAGGACTACCTATATATGTGAATATGTACATACACCCACATCTGCATGCAGTTATTTTAAATGTATAGCGGTTAGAGTTGGACCTGCCTTGTTCTGTGAATAACAAATTAGTGTTTTCTTCATTTATGGCCTCAGGGACATAAGCCTGGATAAATCAATATTCTCACTTCACTTGTTTAAGATCCAAACATGAACATAATGAAGCAAAACTTTTTTTTCTCTTTCCAAGACAAACCTTCCCCTGCTTACTTCTTACTATTTCACTTCACATGTAGCTTGTCCCATAGTCTGTACTTTTAGCAGAACGCATTTCCCACACTGAAAATAGGGTAATTAGCACCTGTCTAAAATGTGGCTTTAAAGCATTATATAATTGTAAATAAAGTTAATGTGGCCTTTAATTAAAATCTTCCCTTCTGTGCAATGTAATAAACTAAATAACTTTCATGGTATTTCTATCTTATTATTCTTTCTGAAACAATAATAAAAAAGTATCAGCTGCTTTAAGACTCTTCCCGGTAGAATATCTTCCTCCTGATCATTGTATATGGATTACTCCTGCCAGCGTTGCACATTGCTTTGAGATAGTTGGACTAAATATTAAGAAAAGCAGCCTGATTTTTCCTTCCTCCTCCCTCCCCCCCGCCCGCTGCCCAATTTTTACCTTGTAATTTCTGGTTGTATTCAGTCCTGTCTGACTGGCTCCTTCTCAAGGTTGCAGAGTTGCTGTTGTGGTCTCCTGAGACGCTGCTCTCCACCACCGTATCCGTCTTCCTCCTCTCCAGCATGTACAATCTCTGCTTGAGGAAAGTCAGGTTCTTTTTCCTAACCCCCGCACTTTCTTTTCCAGTAGGATCCTTGGCTTCCATTTCCAAGCTGGTGTTTCTTTAAGTGGTTTCCCAGTGGTTGGGAAAATAATAACGCAAGCAGCTTAGCAGAGAGTTGTGCGTGTGTGCTTGTTGCGTGGGCAACAGGGTCGGCTTCCTTCAAGGAACAGCTGAAGTGCTGAAGAGACCCGCATAAGTTTACTTCTTACCTGGCTCACCTGAGTGCCACCTTTACAGTGTAACCGGGCTCCACCCCTATGAAGTCATCTTTTAGTACACTGGCTGGGGAACCAGACACCTGTTACCTGAGAGATTTGCAGCAACAGGTAAAGCATAGCAGCAGGGACCAGATCTCCCTTATTAGCTTCTTTTTAGAAGTCGGTGTTCATGTATTTGCATCTGTCCTTTTCCTTTACTTTATTCTGGGTTTTATTTTTTACAAGTTGCAGAATATATGCAGCATTATATTATTATTATTATTATTATTATTATTATTATTATTATTATTATTATTATTATTATGCAAAAAACAGACAAGGCATGCTTTAAAGGCTGCTGGCCAGAAAATCCACCTAAGGCCCTATTTATTTCCCCCCTCCCCCTGGTAGGTAAAATGCATGGAGTTTCTGAAGCTATTTTTACATGAAGGGTCACTGCCATGTAGATCAAGCTGAGAGTTCCTCCATTGTCCTACTTAAGGACTTTATTAAAAGAAAGAAGTTTTTTGAGGATCAAGGGATTTTGCTGTCTTGGGTGAATAATAAATCTTCCCTGCACCCCAATATGTAAAACATTCGAAAAATGAATTTGCCAAACGGGAAGCAAAACTCACTCTCACTCTCTGCCTCTCTCCTGTCCCCCTCCCCCCCATGAAATCAAAACACACAACCCCCACCCCCAATTTGTGGCACTATCCAAGTTACTTCAAAGGAGGGCAGTCCTGAAACCCCAGGTGTGGTTTTAAAGACCTGGAAACCAGTTTTATTCCAGAGAAAGAAGTATGAAGTGCCTTCTCCTATCCTATCCTCACAAAACCCCAATCACCCCCTTGATCTTTGTTGGGGGACCAGATTTTGAATCTGTATCTCCATGATTTTAATCTGACCCAACATGCCTGACTGTTCTGTAGGTCTGTTTGCAAAGTGAATCAATAACATGGTGTGATCAGGAAAAGCAACATGGGCAGACTAAGTCGATGAGCTGACCCCTTCCAGATGATGATGATGATGACTATTATTATTTCATCTCTCTTTCTCTCTGGTGGGGACAGCAGTATAAAAAGAAGTAACTTCAGTCAGAAAAAAAAAGCCTTTGAAATGCTGATTTAGATCAGATCCCTTGAAGCTTGCGTAAATGAGGGAGCACTTTTCTCATTAAGAAGCTGAGGACAACATTTTGTGTTGTTCCCAAACAGTGGAGCATATTTTCTTCTGTAGTCATGATTCATTCCTTCTGATACTACTTTCAGAAAATGTGTCAGAATTCTTTTAAATTCGGGTTTAAAATCCAGCTTTTCAAATTTGTAGCATTTAGTTATTGTTTTAAAATAAACAAACTGGATTCTAATTTGTTACATGCAAGTCAATTTAGCACAGTGGTTTAGGAACCAGGTTAGAAGTGGCAAGCTGTGAGTTCTACTCCTGCCTTTAGGCGCCAATGGCCAGTCGCTCTCTTTCAGCCCCAGGAAAAAGGCAATGGCAAATCACTTCTGAAAAACCTTGCCTAGAAAACCACAAGGACTAGTTGCTAGGAATCAAAAACTGGCTTGAAGGCAACACACACACACACACATATCCACACACAGTTTACATAATATTTCACTTTCAAAAAGACAGGCTACAGATATTCTAAATAAATAAATTATTAAAGTATAGGTTGGATTATGTTTCAGTTTCCCCCAACTTGATTTATACAGAATTGGCACAACATAGATTGCCATTTTTCTACCCTACCTTCTACTAACCCTTGACTGATCTAATGAGGCTTGATTGATTTGGAACTAGTTACTAGGATGAAAGAGCACTAAGAAATCTCAGGACTGTAATCTAGACTGGGGAATTGAAAATAAACATCCTGGAAAAAGGTTGTTCTTTTGTTGGCCAGAAAACTGCATGGATGTGCCCATGACGTCAGCAGTAACTGAGGTTGGCTACAAGGCTTATTTTACATTATTTGCCTTCCTTCTAAATATTTGTGCATAAGATCTAAAACAAACAGGCCTGACCTCTCAGTAGGTATAGAAACATCATGATAGCTGAGTATCTCTTCCAAGGCCTTCATGACTATTCTGCCAAGTGCTAGTCTGCAGGGTACTTTTTTCTTGATTGTTGATCCTAAAAGATGCTATAGATTACGAGATCCCAGGGATCTCCATGGTGGGGCACTTCAGAAGAAAAAGGGTATTGACTTTGCTTGTAAGAAACCAGCAGGTAAAGTCACAAATGGCAAATATAAGGAGAAATTTTCTGGCAGTGAGAGGAATCAACCAGTAGAACAGAGGTTGCCTTTGGAAGTTGTGAGTTTCATCACTGGAAGGTTTCAAGGAGACTGGACTGCCATCTGTCAGAAATGATGTAGAGTCGGCTTGGGCGGGGGTGGTGGTGTTGGACTAGATGATCTCCAAGGTCCTTTCCAACTCTGTTAATCTGCACCTGCATGTGTACCTCTACAAATGCTAATTAAAAAATGCTCTGTCTTCCAAGCTTCTGGAGTAGTGCTGGAGCCCATCTTCAGGGAACTTCTAAGTTCCCTGAGGATGGGCTCCAGCACGAGTCCGAAAGCTTGGAAGACAAAACCTCTGGTCCTGGTGACCAACCCAGATTGGACCCTGCAAAATTATCCTGGGCTATTCACCTTCATTCATAAAATATACGTGATTTTCTGACAAAGTATCTGATTCTAGTCCCACTCAATTTACTAAATCCTAAAAATGTAACTTTGCAGTTGTCGCATTTCACCTGTAGCTGTGTTGGGCTTCTCTGTACTAATACGCCCTACATTCCATGTTCCTACTGTAGTTCTATCTTTGCAGCTTCGGATTTTCTTTTCCTTTTACTGTAGATGGCCTGAAGGCTTTCATCTAGCCATATCATAAACACCATTAGTACTCTGAAAAATCCTTAGCTCTTCCTTTTTAATATGTTGAGTGCCATCCAACCTGAAGGACCCCGTTATCTGCATTCTATCATCAATCATGTTGTATTACAGGTAGTACTCAACTTATGACAATTGAGCACAGCATTTCTCACATCTCGATTGTTTCCAAGTTAAAAATGAATTAAAATGCATCTGAGCAAAACAACTTTACCAATTATCACAAACATATACTGTACTCTCCATGATGTGCACAATACATTCACACACACACACACACACACACCCATATGGAGGCTTCAGCAGGATGAGGCAGAGATGTCAGGCTGAATGTTTATTGTTGGTGAACAATGAAGCTTGGAAGAACATAGAAGTCACATGCCTAGCATTCTAGCTATTGTATCATCCACTTCAGGGATAGTTGCAGAGGATGATCAGAAAGTCACAATCTGTGGAGTGAAACAGTGCAATCAAAATGGCTGCCTATTTTTAATGTGCATTACACATGTGCATTCACATCATTCCAGGCTGATTTGTATGAACTCTTTGGAGTAGAAATATGGACAAATATTAATGACTCTGTCTGGTACCTCTGTTGCATTTAAGCAATATACTGCAACATCATACTCAGGTTTACTCAGAAATAAGTCCTACAGTATGTAGCAGAACTTGCTTCTAAGTGAAACTGGGCTCACACAGTATTAAGCCTTTGTTTATTTAAACAATGTTTACTGAATAAATCTCAGTTAACTGGGTCTGCATGGGCTAGGTGAAAAACCATAATTTGCAAACTCCAACCCTACAGTACCAAAACCAAACTAAGTATATTATGAAGCCAACCAGTATGTTATAAGATTCTAACTTTGCTCTTTTACTTTATTCATGCTCATACAGAAGCACCATTGATTTCAATGGGATTTAGTACCTGATAAACTAATGGCTAGAATTTCTTAGGATATTTGTAGTATTTTTTTTGTCATAGATATGAAGATTTAGAAAAAGTAAATATGCATATTAGGGAATGAAATGTATTTTCAGTGTTAATAAATTTGCCTCTTATGCAAATGGATCCTTGCCAATACAGTTCATAAATCCGGCTTCAGTGACTGCAAAGGAGGAAAGAACGGTAAATGAGAAGTGGCAGTTCAAATGCCTGACGCCTGAATATCAAGTTATTTTATTCTATCAAATCCTCCATATTTGGACCTCTATTTGGCATCTTTTTTTAAAAAAAATATTTTTTTATTTTTATTTTCAAAGTCAAAATACAAACTCCAAAAGAAAAGGGAACAACACTAAATAAAGCAAAAATGTGCATAAAGATAAAAGAACAAATACATAGATCAGGGGTGTCAAACTCAAGGCCTGGTGGCCAGATCCAGCCCATGGGGTGCTTAGATCTGGCCCCTGGGGCTGCCCTGGAAATAGTGAAGGACCGGCCCGCTGTGCGTCTGCCAGCAAAAACGGAGCTCCATTTTCAGCTGCGATGGCCTTCTGCAACGCTCTGCCAGTGGAAATGTGAGCGACCCTCCTGAGCTGTTTTCAGTGGCAGAACGCTCAGATGCCTCTGACACAAGTGATGTTGAGCTGGCCATGCCCCTCTAAGGTCAAACGCAACCCTGATGCGGCCCTCAATGAAATAGAACTTGACACCCCTGACATAGATGCCTCCTCCCAGTTGAATACTGACAAATATATTTCAACAATGGTTTCCCCAATCGCCTTACCCACCGCAAAACAGGTCTGCAATTTATATACTTTTACAGTTCTATTTACTCAACCCAATTTTGACCTACCATCTATCTACTATAAAAAAGAACAGTTGACAGGTAAACCCAACAACAAAACTAATCTTGTTTTACATCTTAATAGACTCCACTGTATCTAAACAATAACAGTCTCTTGACCACTCTTCTCCACTCCTTTCCCACTTTGGAAATAGCATTCCAGGATTTTGGCTTGTTCTGACTAGACACAGAGAAGACCCCAAAGAGTTGGGCTAAAAATAAACCTATTATTCTCATTTTATTATTTTATGCACGTGCTAGTATGTATAAATCTTTTTTTTTTAAGCAAATTTTATTGCTAGTATGTATAAATCTTTATAGAAGATTGTATTTCCATTTTGCACAGACAGTGAATCCTTGAATAGATACAAATGAAAATCAGTTGGTAGAGAGAATGGACTTAAAACATCAGAAATAACAGATGTTTGTCTTTTGAGAAGAGTAATAAAATAACCATTAACCAGCTAAACAAATTACTAGGAATGGAAGATAAGATGCAGTACATTGAACAATGTGTTTACCGACTTCCAGAAAATAATCATATTTCAGAGAGAGAAGGGGGGGGGGGGGGGGAGGGAGAGAGAGACTATAAATCCATGAGCAAGAATATGCTGTCTTCCCATTAATTTCAGCCCCACTGATGATTACATAAATGTTCAAAACAGGGTTTTTTTCCTCCCTAAGTGTGGAAACAGGAGCTAAACTCCACATAGAAAATATTGTTAATATGTTCCTAAGCAATGCTATTAGAAGCCTATCAGTTGCAATTGTTCTATGGACCTATACTAATCTTTATCTGCATCTCCACTGATGACTGTGCCAAAAGCATTATAGTGCTTCCAGTGCTTGTTGAATAAACCAAAGGTTCCTTGTTCCTTGAAAGGAACCACTTCAATAATGTTATTAAAAAAAAACCTTTTGGTGTTATGCAAGCATTTAATTTTTCAAAGTAATTCTAGTCCGGTGACTCCATTTGCAAAATTAGATACAATCATAAACAAAATAAACCTAATGATCATTTGGGGTTCCAAGGCAGCCCAAAAAAGCATGGAAATATAAAGAAAGAGACTTCTCTTTCCACAATGAACCTTACTTTAAGATGTAGGAAGGTTTTCAATTTGAGCAGTTTATTAATTGCTGGATTAATTGCTTAAGGCTACTGCTCCAGCATATGAATCAATCTAGTGATATACCTTATCTGTTGAAAGTTTGCAGAGGACAAAATTCAAACAAACAGTACCCAGAAGTAATGCGTATTTTTTTTTTGGCTTCTATGAAAAAGGACTTGTATGTTTACCCATATGCAAGTACTGAATGTACTGTATATATATAGACAGAAGGTGATCTGATTATCAAAATAAACAACAAAGGAAAGAAATACATTAGATGCCGAGAGGCAGAGAGAAGCAGGGGGCCAAATTACCTCAAAAAACTTAAACATTTATAGAGCTTGCAAAAATCATTAAAAAATATATATATAACTCAAGGTAGAAAACATTCCTGATATTCCTGCTTCCTATTTCCTTTGCAAAAAAAAAGAAAAAGAAACCTTGTTAGGTGGTTGGGTTGACTGGCCCAAAGTCATCAAGTCAGCTTTCATGCCTAGCACTCTGTTTCATAGTTTCTAGGCCAGTAGCTTAACCACTACACCAAATTGTTGTTGTTTTTTTGTCTGTTTGAATGGGAATATACTTTTGTTTGGTAACACTACTTTTGTGATAGGAAAGTTAGGCAATTGTTGCCTAAACCAAACCAATTCAATTTGTAGCAATTACCACCTAGTGAAATCAAAGGGAGCTTTCCTTACAGCCCTGACAGGTCCCATCAAAGGAAATTGCAAATCATTGGAATTAAGTATTTTCTAAAAAAAAAAAAAAAAAAGTGCAGATGCTGGCAGCCAAAGATAGATGTGCATTCGAGAGAACAGAATCTCTGCAGTTGCCTATCTATGCAACAAATTTGTTACAAGGGCCTTTCCACTTCCTTTTTGAGGACTAATTACTTCCAGAGTTACAAGCTTACTTTTTGGCACCAAACCTCAATGTTATGTCAGCTGATAAACTCTTGATGGTGCCCAGATATCATGAAAACTGTTTGCACTAGGCTCAAAGAATTAGGGTTCAAGAAATGTTCAATTTTAATACATAAAGTTCAGGTCTGGGTACAGTATCAAGTATTGAGAATTGATATTTAGCTGTGGCTACTTTGCTCTTCACTCAATTCCAAAATGGAAGAAATTTCCATTTGAATTTTTGCAACTGGCAGGATTTACCAGAATTTGTGAGCAGTATTTCACATGCCTGTTTTCATGAGCAGTTGTAGAAGGATGTCTGTCTTGGCTTGGCCCTTGGTGTTAGCTGATCAGGTTCTGATTTAAGTTCTGACATAGTTCTTTTCTTTGGCCATGGCTTGTTGTGAATGCACCATCCTACTGTGTGGTCAGTATGTAGTGGTCAGAAGTCACTTTCACAGAACTTGACCCTATCCATAATTACATGCTATATTACTCTTCTTTATCCTGCCACTGTCTTATTGCTGTATGCTCTGACAAACCTGAGGATGCTATTCCACTCATTTGATTTTTAGGCTTTTTCTTAAAAGACGGCATAAAAGACCATAGAGTTTTCTCCACAAGCCAGGAAGCCGACTGCCCTCCCTGCCTTTTAGCTAGCTTTTTTTTTTTTTATAGCTTTTTCTATTGGATTCATCTTCAGTGACCTAGAGCAGGGGTCTCCAACCTTGGCAACTTTAAGGCTTGTGGACTTCAAGTCTTAAAAGTTGCCAAAGTTGGAGACCCCTATCCTAGAGTGCACAGTGTTTGGTTAATTAGCCAAAGTTTATGGCTAATACACTATCCAAATCTAAACACACAGATTACTCCCCATATCACTCATGATTAAATAGAGCCAGGAGGGTTCCCTCCCTTTCCCAACCTATACAATTTTGCATTGCATGTGGGAAATGCCTTTCAAGCGGGTACTTTTGGTGGGTGGCGGAAGGGAAGATGCAAGTTTTTTTCTCCGCAAGCTTCGTCTGCAGGGTCAGGAGGACACCACAATGCAACTCGAGAGAGCCGAGGCTGGCTTCCTTTGGTCTTCACGCAGCCTACACCAAACCCAAAGCCAGCTTGGCGAAAGAGACCGGAGCACCCAACAAAAAGGCGCAGGTTTTTCCAATCTTTTCCCGCTAAAGATAGCCTTCCTGCCTCCCCTCTCCCTTCCCTTCCCGCCACTTTGCAACGCCTCGAACTCTGCCCTCCTTGCACGTCCTGCCCAGGGTTTTCTGCTCCGATCGGAAAGCCACCCAGACAAGTCCAGGAGATTTGCTGGGCATGCTCGAACTCCACCCGCCGCGCCCGGAGGAGGGACTACCGTGCCTCCGCAGAAGCGGAGAGCACAAGCATGCGTACGGCTGCGGTTTTGGGTTGGCTCCTACGGCTGTCTTGGGCGGCTCGGCAGGGCAGCGTTTCCGGCAGGAGAAAGGCAGCCACGCGGCTTGTGCAAGCCCGGCCGCTGAGCTGCCGCACCTATTCAGGCGGATTCATGGCTGGGGATCAGTATGACACGGAGCAAAGGGGGCGCCTGCATTCGGCCGAGTTTCGCCTCTACTTTAGTAAGTCGCTCCCGGGAGGTAGAGGAGAACCCGCGGCGGAGGCCCTGGGACGAGCCGGGAGGGGTTTCCCCCTGGCTGGTGACGCTTTTTGATGATGTTGTAGGGACCCACTCCGGTCTGTCCAATGGAGGGGGCTGGAAGGCGGGCCTTTGCTGGACGAGGCATAATAAAAACAGGTGCCCTTGAAGGGGAAAGTGCGCGTTTAGGTGATTTTGGTGGTCTGTTGCAGCGGGCCGTCCTACTGCTTTAATGATATGAACAATAAAAGTCCTTCTATGCGTGCGTGTTGGGTGTAAAATGGAGCTCCGGCTTGCTCTCGGTTTTGCCTGGAGTTATGTGATCAAATTTCACATCATCTAGTCCAGGGGTCTCCAACCTTGTCAACTTTAAGACCTATGGACTTCAACTCCCAGAATTTATTTATTTATTTTTATTTATTTATTTTGTCAAAAGCTTACAGTACAATAGAAATAAGAATAAACATAAGTTTAAATATAAGAAATAGGAACTAATAATTGGGGACAATAGGACAGGGACGGTAGGCACAATTGTGCACTTACTGACAGACCTCTTAGGAATGGGGTGAGGTCAGTAGAGGTTAGTTTGAGAGTAAAGGAGTGGGAGTTTGAGCAGGTGACAGCAGAATCAGGTAATGAGTTCCAGACATTGACCACTCTGTTGCTGAAATTGTACTTCCTGCAATCAAGTTTGGAGTGGTTTACATTTAGTTTATATCTGCTCTTGTTTTGTTGAGGTTAAAGCTGAAATATTCATTAACTGGTAAGACATTGTAACATGATTTTATGTACTATGCTTAAGTCCAATCTTAGCCGGTGTAGTTCAAGGTTTTCTAAGCCAAGAATCTCAAGTCTGGTGGTGTAGGGTTTTCTGTTGCGAACAGAGGAATGTAATACTCTCCTGGTAAAATACTTCTGCACTCGCTCAATTGTATTTATGTCTGATATACAGTGCAGATTCCAGACAGCAGGGCTGAATTCAAGTATTGGACTAGCAAAGGTTTTAAACCCTAGTGTGCAGATCAGTATTACCAGAGGAGAAGCTTCATAAAATTGAATTTACAATTCTTAAAGCCTTTTTGGCAATACTGTTTTGGCAATTTTGGCAATTCCTCAGCCAGACAAAGGGAGATTTACTTTCTGGCACAAATAGTCTCCATTCCATAATGTAGAGATTAAAGACATGAAGAGTCCCCAGCTGCTATGAGGCTTGACTCTTTTGCATAGGAGCAGAGCATAAATCAACTGACAGTTTCTCCAGATGTGTCTAAAAACTCCAACAATCTATCAATCTTTGTTACTACCTCTGACACAGCCCTAGAAGGGGACTTAGCATTAGTAATAATTTACAAAATTCATATGCCACCCAATTCTCAATGACCCTGAGTGACTCACAACAATAAAAAATATATAATTAAATCAATCACAGGTAAAAGATTAAGGTAAAAGATGACAAACTCGGTGGTACAAGGGGGCTCACCAAAGACCTGGTTGAAGAGCCAGATGTTTTTGGCTCTTCTGAACAACAGCCATCTAGATCTTGAAGGGTACCTAGTGCTAGTTGGCAGATGCTGCTAAACAGAAGGTGAAGAAGGTGCTGCCTCCTGCAGCACTCTGCCAGCCAAAATGCCCCTCCCCCCCAGTCAATTTTCAGCCTCCACGGTCTCCTCCACCAATCTGCCATCCAAAACAAGCCACAGGGGACCCTGTATGGTGTCCTGCAGCACTCTGCTGGCCGAAAATGGGTGAGTGTCTGAAAATGGCCAACATGTATACTTGAACCTGGCTAATGTGTATATTTTAGCTAAACAAATAATTTCAGTACTTAATCACTACAAGTTTTTTAAAGACGAAAACAGCTAAAATGCTCCAGTGGTTTTTTTTTTTTTTCTGTTTGCATAAAATTTTATTTCCTCTTGCAGAGAACTCAAAGGGAAAATACATTTCCCCATTCCATGACATCCCTCTGTTTGCTGAGCCAAATGAGGTAATTAAATATGAAAGATATCCTTTTTGTTGAAATACTGACTGTTCAGCACCAAAAAAAAAAAAAAAAACATCTCTGGACTTCTAGTTTTTAACTTTCTACAATCATATAATCTTTAATTATATTTAAAGTCTGATATCCATTTCTTAGGCTATTATATGGCAAAAATTGGGTTCGAAAATATATTCCCACATTTGAAAATGTTAGAAATCAAATGTGTACATCTTCATCCCATGTCAGGCTTTTATAGCATTGCAGCAAATTTTTCTTTTACTTATATCACCCGATGAACATTTGTTTGGAAAAGCTAAATTTTGCTATGCTGTAGTCAAAATAGTGGAGGAAAGGCAATTTATTTAACAAAATCAGCTTTACTAACACATATGCTTCTCCAATCTTTTCAGAACTATTGATTAAGACAATGTGCCTTGTCAGAATTTATCATCTGTCAGAAAACCATCTGCCAATCACAATTTCTCAAGACTCATTCCAACTTTAGTTCCCCCATTTTGCCTGCATATATCTGATGTTGAGGCAAAGAAGTAATAAGTTTTGATGCTGCTTTGCTTTTGCAAACCCAATCAACTTTCAATAAATTTTGCAACCCCATGTAAGTTGATAGTGATCACAGTTTGCGAAATCTTGCTTTCATCATTAAGTGATTCTGAAAAGATACTGTTTTGGTAACAGGACTGCAAATTTGATGAAAGCAAGCCTTCCTTCATTTTAGCTAAGTGTGTTGTAGAAGTGCACTTTCTGGGAATTAAAGACCATAGTTCATAGCCTGATGTCATGTAAATCTAATCATTGTTGAATATACTATGATTAGAACAAATTATGATTTGCATGAATTGTAAAAAGGATGGCAGACTTAATATTTTAGAGTTTGAACTTGGTAATTTTTGAAGACTATTTCATTCAGTATCATATTTAGATCTGCATATTTATGAATGAGCACTATGTTGATTTCTTGCACAGGATGAGGAGGTTCTTGCAAAACGATCAAAGAACAATGGAAATGAGGTGCGATTGCAGACCATTTTTAAAGATTATTTACAATGTGATTTGTGAGTAAGAAATTTAGATGATGATTTTTTATCAAAGCTGAGCTTCTATATTCTATAGCTTATTCCATTTCATGCATTAAAATATGTAAATTGGAGTCTTCTATCTTTAATTTGATGGAGTTATGATAATAGAAAGTTATTTGGATTACAGGTTTAGATTTTTATGCTTTTATTTTCCAATTAAGTATTGTGTATCACCTTGGATAAAATGGAAGTAAGTGGTAAACAAGACATTATAATCATTTCTTAAATTCTGTAGCCTCTTCAGCAGTGCCTATTGTTTGGAAGAATAATAGGGACTTCTCTAGTTTTGTAGAAGAGATCTCTTGGGCATTTTGTGTGTTGTAGAAATGAAGAACCTTCTCTGCCCATTCTTTGGTTCTTTTTTGTGGGGGATAGAATTCTAAGAGTATTCATCCTATCATTGATCCATTGGAACCCAAATCCAATTTTGCCAGAGTAATCTGTGGTGAGATTGTGCTTAATTCACATCAAGTACTTGTGCATTTATCATACCCAATATGATTTGGCGGCCCTCTTTTGTTCTCAGTATTTGTTTTCATAAAAAGATTAGTAGCTGAATTATTCAGAAAAATAAAGTCCATGAAACTAGGTATTATTGTCTCTTATTGAACCCCGGACATTATATAATACAATGGAAAATTTAAAATATAAACTTCATGGAAAGAAGAACCAGTTGGGACAGCTAAGTTTTTCTCTTTGGCTGTTGTATCTCTCTACCTTACAAACTTAAGATGTGACTCAGAAAGAGAGGGAATAATTTGTCTTCTTTAGATCTGAAGAAGAAAACAGCTTTTGCTGGGTAGTATGTTTTATATGTTAATCTGTTTTGGTATTTTTTTTTTACATTTTGCTTTTCTTTTTTTCCTACTAGATTGTATTTAATATGATTGTAGAAGTGCCTCGTTGGACAAATGCTAAAATGGAGGTAATTTGAAATTTTTACTCTAGAAGATTGTAAAGCAACTTCTAAATAAAGGAAGTAAAGTTGCAACAAAGCATTGCATGATCCATTCATAGTGTCATTCAAATATCAGACGCTTGCCTTTTTTAAACTGCTGCCCAATAAATGTCTTAATAGAAGTTCTTATAAACTATGGTGTTTGGACTTGGAAAGCACTTATACAAATTGAATGAATGATGTCCTTTACATTTATATCCAGTGCTTGAAAGCATGTTCTGCAGTTTTGACTATTGTATGTTTGAAGGAGAAATCTTCATACGATTGTTTCTTCCTAGACATAGGAAGGCATAGCAGGGGAATATTTTTGAAGTATTTGGTGATACTCTTCATTACACTGAACACACAAATGGCAGATAGCTTTTGAATTCCCCTCTTGTCTGTTATGAGTAATGGCTTCACATGTGCTGTTCAGTGGGACTTGAGAAACTATATGGTATTGTTATTCCTGTGCACAACATAATAAAAAATGTGTTGTTCTGGAACATGGAACAACGAATCCCACACAAAATATTTTGTCAGGTTATTTTGAGTAGGTCGTGTTTCAGTGGAACAAAACTGAAAATATTTCCAATGTTTCTCCAAAGAGAACAATGGAAATTCAAAATATACTATGTGCTTTCTAATCAAATGGCTGCAAATATAATGGAGTGGTAACCTATGCTGAGTGCTGCTTACCTCCAACCTATGGAACATTACTTTTAAAAAAAACCTTTAATATTAATGATACAGTTTCCCTTCAATTTCCTGTTTAGAGTTCCCATCCAGTTTCACACTGTCAATATTCCTCTGAACTCAGGGATTAACAATCTGTTATTTTTCAGTGTTTATCATGATCAGTAAGTCTTCTTTCAAATCTCACCCACTCTCTTTAGCATTCTACTTTAATATTCTAGAATTCTAGAAACTAGAATAATGAGAAATTCCCATCTGAAGATCCATGTTCTTTTTCTTATGTTACGCGGGTACTTACATGTATGGCCTTCAGCTTTGTTCGGGTATTTTCCCACGTCATAGTAGTGGTGCTTTTAAAGTTGTAGCAACGTTTCAGCAGAATCTCATCAGCCATCATCATCTGCTGAAATGTTGCTACAACTTTAAAAGCACCACTACTATGACGTGGGAAAATACCCGAACAAAGCTGAAGGCCATATATATATATAAAATTTAAATTATAAATTATAAATACAGTGTGAACTGTGTTGAACTTTTACAATCTGGGAGTAAATAGTTGAGCCATTTATTCATGATTTCTCCCAATTTTTCTCCATCCTGTTTTATGCTACCTTAAGATTGCCACCAAGGAGCCACTGAATCCTATTAAGCAAGATATAAAGAAAGGCAAGCTGCGATACATAGCAAACATTTTCCCCCATAAAGGCTACATTTGGAACTATGGAGCCCTCCCACAGGTAATGTTTTGGGATTTGTTCATCTAGGAATTAAATAAATTGGGGCATGAGGGCATGTTCTGCCACACCGCATTCAAAATAGAATTGAGTTCAAAATAGAACATATACCTCAATATGATGCTCTCTCATTATCAGAATGGGAAAAGAAAACTTTGGGTATAAACGGGATTTAGTCCAAAGTATTTTTTGCAAGATGCATTTGTAGTATAGGCCACTTTTTTGGCAGGTAAAACATAATGTAAAAAAGGAAATGATATCTTCTTAAGCCTCACTCCTAATTTTATTATTAGAATGAAATAATAATTTGAGATTTAATTGGTGCTTACATCTCAAAGTTGATAGATCTCTGTGTTGGCCCATTTTTAAATGTATGCAGGGGCCTGCAGTTCTTGGAATTCCCAAATAGTGCAGAATTCTGGGAATTGTGGTCCTGATGTATCCAGAGGATGCCAAGATTTGAGAAGACTATTCCATCTTCCATTCCTGGAACATAGCATCTTTGGCCCTCTGGATGCTTTTTGAAATACAACTACATAATATCATAGAATTGTGGGGATCCATAGAGGACATCAAGTCTAATCTTCTGGTCAGTTCAGGAAACCAGATTAAAATATTCCTGATAAATGGGTATCTTGTCTCTGCTTGATAGATTCAAGAGAGGGGGAGCTCAGCATTTCATTTGATAACCTTTTTACCGTTAGGACATTTTGCTAATATTTAACTGGAATCTGCCTTCCTATAACTTAAATAACTTAACCATTTTGTACACTTTGGCCTCAGTCCTCTGGGTGATAACCTTTCAGATATTCATTCAAGTATTTGAAGAGCACTGTTCCTCTCCTTGTCTTTTCTCAAATATAGACATACCTATTAGACTCTTTTCACAAGACTTAATGACAGCTTCACTAATCATTCTTATTGCTATTTCCTGAATTCGTTTCAGTTTTTCTGATTTTTAAAAAAATGATATGCTCAGTATTAACACATTACTTGAAGTAGTATTGGACCAATTTGAAATAAGGTGAAAAGTGAAATCTGTGCAGTATTGTATTGTAGTTTTTGCAGCTGTATGTTACATTGCTGCATCATGTTAGGTTCAATTACTATTCCATTTTTTTTCTTACTAGCATTTTTGCAAAGCCAGATATTCCCATCCAGTCCCATGTACATTGGATTTTTTTGTTTATAAATTAAATAGGTTGCATTTGTCTTGGTTAAGTTTTGTTCTTTTACTTAAACTCATTATTCTAATCTATCAAGCTTAGTTTGAATTTGATTTTGTACTTGAAGGATACCTACTGCATTGTGAATCTCCTGCAGATTTCATAAACCTTTTCTCTATTTGTTCAGCTAAATTATTAATAAAAATGTATTTAGATCCCAGAACACCACCCTCAGTATTTCTTTCCAATTCAATGAGTGTGATTCAAATATGATTTTGAAGCTACTCTATTCAGCCCATATTTAACTTGCTCCTACTCAGAATACCATGGGTAATTTTGTCTCATGCTTAGTTGAAGTGAAAACATATTATGTCCCCAGAATTCCACCAACTATTGAGAGGATTACCTGATCAAAAAATGACCTGAAATTTGTTTGAAAGTTTATTTCTTGACAAATCTAAAAACTGATTTGGGAAACCATTTGGTAACCATTTTGAAAATGTTAACAGATCAATAATTTTACAACCTGTTCTTACTTTTCCAAATATTGATGTC